TTAGACAAGCCAAACGGCAGTCGGGTGAACTCGAACAACCCTCTGTGGCAGATGAAAGCCGTTTTTGGAACGTCTGATGGGTGAATCTCGATCTGAAGGAACCCGCGACTGCAATCCAGCGTTGTAAACACGGTCGCGTTACCAAGCGCGTACATCACAGAGGAAATGCTGGGGAAAGGGTAGCTGTCTCGTACGGACACATCGTTAAGCCGCCTGTAATCCACACAGAGTCTGGCTGTTCCGTCTTTTTTCGGGGCGAGAACAACGGGGAATGCCCAGGGGCTCTTCGACTCACGTACTGAACCGGTGTCGATCATTTCCTCGAGCGCCGCATCAAGGAGTGCCCTTTTGTGGACGCTGATCGGTCGAGGGTTGCACCTCCGAGGCGGCGCGTCACCGGTTTCAATGCGGTGCAGCAGAATGTCAGTCTTTCCAGGTGTTTCCGTGAACATCGGTGAGAAAGACTCCAGGACGGCTTGCAGCTCCTGCTTCTGCTGGCTGCTTGCGGGGCACTTTCGCAACGATTCTCGAACGCCGGCAGGCAAGACGTCTGGCACCGTGGTGAAGTGGGCTGCAGTGGTCGAGTTAGGGATGCAGTCCTCCCTTTTGGTAAATGGAGTCAGCTCCGGTTGTTGTCCCAGCCGGTATCCACCACCAGAAAAGTCGAGTGTCATGCTTTCGCCTGTAATGAAATCTCGGCCCAAGATCACGGGTACCACAAGTCCTGGCATATAAAGAAATCGCTGACGCCGCTTCTTTCCATTAAACCGAATCTGCAGCCTCACGGCTCCTCCAGCTGTTATCGCTGTACCAGAAGCTAGCTGCAAACGGGTTTCGCACTCCCGGAGGCTTATCTTTTTTGCTTTGCAGAGTTCGAAAACGAAATCCCCTATGAGCGAGATAGCGGCCCCGGAATCCAAAAGTGCGGCAATGGGAAAATCGAGCAGTGAAATCGTCATGCGCGGTTCAATGATATTAGGCTCGGGCTGGATTCGACATACCGATGGAATCTGTGCCACGGCCTCACTGCTCCCAGGGACTGCAACGGCCGTCGGCGAGTGGCTGTCTGGTTTCAGCGTCGCCGGCCGTAGTAGTTTCCCTGGTTCTGGTTCCGGCCCTTTGCCGCCGTCTTGTGCCACCTCTTGTTTGTAGTGTCCGGAAGTCTTGGACACTGGTTTCGGTGATGGCCGGGCTGCTCGCACTCGTAGCAGCAGTCCGACGACAGTTGCCTGCTTAGGCCACCGGCACCGAGGTGCCCGTCGGACCGCCTCCAGTGATCGGATAAGGAACCACTATGGGAGGGCCTCCACCAGGCTTGCGACTGGCTGTTGTGGGGAGGGCTTGTTCCGTTGCGGCGGGGGTCAATGCTGCTGGGCTGCGGGTTTGCGACCGCACCGTGCCAGTTTTCGCCAGCACTTGCAGGAGCAGACTGATGAAGATGGTTCGCTTGGGGGGTGATCTCCGTTGGGCCCCAGCTTGCGATAGGGCACGGCCAACGACCTCCCACCTGTCGTGGCGACCCCCGCCCGAAACCCTCACGGGCCTCGCTGTGACCTCCGGGGACCTCTCGGGGAGAGTTAGGCGAACACACGCTTATCCCGCACGGGAGTTCACCATGCATGCCACGCCAACTCTCCTGGTTGACGTGGTGGGGAAGGGAGGTCTCGTTCGGACAGTCCACTTGCGTGGAGGCCTCGGGGCCCCGCCATGCGCATGCCGGCTCGAGCGCGTACTTGGCTGGTGGCGGCGGCACGTAGTTCCGCTCGGCATGAAGAGCTTCCTCGATGAGGCGGGCGCCCCGGGCTAGCTCTTCAAGGGTCTCAAAGGTGCGGTTGATCAGGTAGACGTGGTACCTGGGGTGACACTGTCTTCTGACCCGAGCTACTCTGTCCGACTCCGGTGACTTCGGGTCCGCCCTCTTGAAGAGCTCTTGCATGACCCGAACGTACCGGACCAGACTTTCATCCGGGTGCTGCGTCCTTGCCTCGAGCTCTCGGAGAATCTGCGTCGCGTAGCCTGCAGGCAGGAACTCTTCGCGAAGCCTTGTCTGGAAGTCCGCCAGGCTGGTGAAGGGGGTCTGTGACCCCAACCAGCACCTGGCGCTGGCTTGTAACGCCAGCGGGACAATCCGGTCCACGATGAAGGCTTCTGAGGCACCGGAGGCAAGGTGGTACGTCTGCAGCTCGCCCAGGAAGTCTGCCACGGACTTGACGTCGTCGTACCCCATGTAGACCGGAACAGTCAAGTGTGGTCGGGGCTCTCGCGGTGGGGTCTCCTGCTGGCCAGGCGTGTGGGCCAGGCGCTGCATCACGGAGTCGCACATCTCCGTGACCTTCGTGAGCAGGTTCATTTGTGCCGCTGCGGCCATCGCGGCTTCCTGCTCCAGTTTGAGCATGCCTGCGAGCACAAAAAAAAGAAACGCCCCCAAAAACCCAACACAAGCGCGCAAAACGATTGCCGCGTTCACAAAGACACGGTCACAAACACGCCAATACAACAAACGTGGACGTGACGGAAGCACGAAACAACGATAGGAAACACGGGGAATATGAAAAAGGCTTACCGAAAGAAGAAACCAAGCCCCGTGAAATTCCTGCGAGTGGGTAGCATACCACGGTTGGGCGCCATTGTGGTCGGTTTGCCTTGCTGCATACCCGACCCGGAGGAATAACACGGAGCCAACGGTTTCGACAACAAGAAACTACATTTAATTGGACATGGACAATCACAATACTAACATGATTACTTCAGCTCGGCGGAAATCGGCCGACTGCCCTCGCGCCGCTCCTGTCTCGCCTAATATAGGCGAGCGGCACGACGCGCGCGTGGCCGGCTGCTTGCCGCCACCTTGCGGCCGAATGATGGCCGCGGTATTTGGGGTACCGGGCAACCGTGTGCCCCCACAACCTAGAGGTTCACCCACCCTTCCCATAACAGGAAGGATGGGTGATTTGTTTTCACCAAGATGCACGGACTGTCTACGGTTTGTTACGAATATCAGCTATCCAGTTTAAAGCAGAAGTGTGGACGTTCTGTTCAGAAAGTTCACGGGGAAGTTTTTGGTAAGGCAACGTGTCAAATGCTTTTTGAGAAATCAATGAAAATGGCTTCAGTTGGTTTAGACGAGTGAAGGCTGTTATAAAGTTCAGCAACAAATGAAAAAAAGAAGAGCAGATTTTTACACGAATATTTTCCCCTGTAGCCACATAGACTGTTACATATTATTGAATTTTTTGACAAGTAGCTCATAATGCGGGAGTACATGACAGGTTTAATAATTTTGCTATTTATACTAGTTTAAAAAAAGGTATATATAACATAAGGAGTAATTTTAGTTTACGTACTTTTATATAGCTAAAACTCTTCGGAGTCTCCAGTCGGCGGGTTGGGTTGTTAAATCAAGTGACAGGAAAAGTAGCAAGGTATGCGTTTTGCAAATTTTAAAATTTTAGGACTTAAATGTTCATCGTCAGCAGCTGAGTTTCGAGATAGTTTTTCTCGTATATTCAAAATATTGTTTAGGTCAAGGATGACGGGCGCAAAGTAAACGCTAAGCAGCGCTCTACAGATTTGATCCCATGGTTGATAATTCTTCTATGGTAAGCGCAGATGCAAAATAGGTATCACAGACGGCAGCTGATTCGAGATTTGTGAGGACTTCGCTCAGTTCATTACACAGTTTAGGCAGGGCTTCATCTTTCTAGGACATACGTTTCCAAAATTAGTGAGGATTGGTTATTAATGAGTTAAGTAGGTATTGCTCGTAATATTTATCCTTCGCGTAGTAACAACTTAAGGCGCCCATTTCATTGACTACTTGAAGATATTATAAGAAAAGGCGCTTACGAGACACAAAGTCGCTCTGCACAAAAGATTTTCGCACCTTAGATGATCTGAAAAGGTTTTCATAACTTAAACTGAGTGGTGTAACTGAAAAAAAAAACGCACTAATTTCAATACATTAAACAAAACGAAACTTGACGTGTATGCGCGGACACACGCCAGGTAACCTCAAGCACAGAAGTCAGCACTCACTAGCTGACACATTCGTGAACTCTGGAATAAAGGATGCAAGCAAAGAAATCAACAATTAGGAGCCTACGCAAATATCGCGGCTTTCTCAGTCCGTAATCGCCCCGAATCAACATCACGGTCCGAATCCACCGCTCCACAGAACCAGTTCCGAGAACCCGGCAAAACGCTCTGCTTCACGCACATCTATTCTGGAGAAGGAGAGCCTACCGCAAAGAGTGCCACCAGCCGTCCACGCGCTGTTTGTAGGACATTCCATTAGTTTGGCTCAATTAGCCGCAAGCCCACCCGTTCATTACCGGGCGACCCTGTCGTCTCCCGAGGGCACGTCATCCCCGAGGAGGAACCCGTGAGGTGCCGGTCGACGACATCATCAGTTAACGACCCTATCCACGCAGACCCGTATACCCTCCCTTTCAGTTTACGTCGGACCATTGCCAAAGTTACGAGCCATCGAAGCAAATCATCGGTCCCGAATGCGCCTCGACATTTTCGCACGAGCCAATCAGCTGGCGGGATTACGTTACGTCATAGATAACTCCAGCAAGCTGAACTAATTGTGCGTCAGGAACGAACCGTGACATTACGTTGTTTTCGAGTGTGCGTGCTGGCCTGTCTTCAGCTCGGTCCACCTCGGGGTGTTTGAAAGCACAGAAAGCCCTATGATGTGCATTCCCCTTTCCCGTCAATACAAGACACAGATACCGGACTCGCTGCGTAAACAAAGAAGAAAGCTCGCGAAATCGGAAAGGGAAAGTCATCCGAGGTCCAAGAGCATGCCTTGCAGAAGAGCCATCGAACGTCGATCCGGTTTTCCGGTGGAGTGGGTAGCTTCTTTCTTGGTTTCGACTGAGGACTGCCGTGTGTGTCCTGCGGGGGACTGCTTGCTTTTGCTTCTTTCCGGGGTGTAGGGGGGTTTCATCGGACGGGGCCGGTACCGCATCTTTTCCAAAGTGACGGTCGACGCGATGCTTTCCTGGCTGCCGGCTCCCCTCGTCCTGCTCCTCGTGCTTGAAGGTCTGGCCTACGTCCCGGATTCGTCGAGCTCGCGCGGTATCGCCGTCGGCACCAATCACAGTGAGTTAAGCTGAGGATGATAGTGTTTATCGGCGACGTTATTTTGGGCAGTTTCGATTGAGTCGTTAGTGGCGAAGGGTGTTCTAGAATCTGGTACACCGTCCGTTGGCGGCACGTCGCCTTTAATTTGCTTGATTTAGGAGCTGCCGGCTTTGTTAGGGTCAGACCGAAGAGTCATGGTAACTCTGGTGTTATTTGAACTACTGAATTAAAGAAAAAATATCTCGATTTTATTTATCTTCATATTAAACTCTTGGAGTTTGGCTAACTCGTCTCCGAATTCACTGCATGAGGGAGTTTCTCCTGAATCTATTTCAAGGTCTACCTCAGCCTTATGTAGGTGGATTTTTAATATAGTCAGTAAAGTGATATTCTGAAGTGTAATCGCCAAAAAAAATTCTTTGCAGTATTTAAGATTAAATTAGTTGTATCACTATAGATTGCGTAAATTCCATTTCGATGGTTGCTTGATGAAATATCATTTTCACATTTTTACGTATATCAACACAACTCTCTAAACAAAGCAAAATGCATATGTGTGATTTTTGTATTCTATTTATTTATCTAGAGATGGTTCACAAAGTAGAAGAGCTGCTACTATAAACTTTTTTCGTTTACTCTCGTCCCTTGCCACCTGCTGGGCACATCCAATATGGGCGACGAAAAAATAATACCTGTCGTCTCCGCTCGATGGTCGCCGCTAACAGATACCCTCGAGGTGTGTATATCGCTTTTCAGTTTTTATATACCAGCACTGGGTACCGAACGAGAAGAAAGAAGACGACACACTCTCTCGCGTGCGACCACATGGCGATCGCCGTCTTTGAACTATTCATGTAACGTGTACCTCAGGGTAACACAATGTGAATACGCCTCGCAAGTGGGCTCATTTTCGTTTTCTGCGCATGAGAAAGGAAGTAGCGGTGACGTCAGAACGCCGAGCCCTGATTGGCTGATCGCGACCCCCTACCTCAGAGGCTCAGCGTCGTCTGCTGCTTTGCAACGTCGTCTGCTCGCAACGTCGTCTGCGTCTGTCTCACCTTTCCTGCGACTTTCGGAAGTGCAGGTCTTTACAAGCGAGCTCGACTTCACCTTTCAGAGAGGGCAGACGAAATAACTCGAGCGGTACGTTGTTTTTGGCTAACAACTAGCAGACGCGCATCAAGGAAAGAAATCAAAGGGCTCACTGGCGAGGTGTCCCGAGGTTTCTTTGCTAACAACCGAGAGTGAGCGCGTCAGTGTCCGCAAGTTCCCTCCCAAATACTTTTTCCCTCCTTTCGTGTGCGGCGAGACCCCTCATTCTTTGACGGCGTCGGCGGGTTGGCGCAGTTAACGTCGTCTGCTTTGCGTCTGCTAGTCAAAGCGATGGCTGCTTTACCTTTCCTGCGTCTGTCGGAGATTCACCGCTTTTTCACCGGCGCGAGTCACCGTTGCCTCGGGAAACAAGGAGATGAAAAGAGGAAGAAATTGACCTCTTAATCTAAAATTGAGGTCAGCGATCGAAATATAATACGGGAAGGTTTCACAAGGGTCGCGCGGGCATATTCCAATCAGCACGCCAGCCGGTCGTGGGCAGAGAGTCGCCAACAGTCGCGGAGTCGCGGAGTGCCTGCTAGGCCTAACTACAAAGCTCGCTTGGTCGCGTTCGGTGGAATCGTGGACGTTGGAGCTTTTCCCGGGCGTTTGTGGATCCAGCGTTCTTGTTCGTCGTGGTCTGTTTCAAGTACTTTTTACTTTTTTCTTGCTGCTTGAAGTCGGGACGGGTGAGAAGCGCACGCAGAAAAATATACGTCCGTGGGTCGTCGCGAACGCAACGCTGTCGGCCATGCTGATTTGATCGTAAGAAGTGCGTAAGACAGCTTCGGAGCTGTCCTAGGATTTCGTCGTAACCTGCGCAACACTTACGAAAATTTCGTTTCGTGTATACGAATTAGTTCTTAAGTTTTGTTTTACGCACATTTTTGACGTAAGATCGTATCGTGAATCTGGCCTCTACACTTCGGGAAGTCGCAGGAAAGGTAAGACAGACGCAGACGACGTTGCGAGCAGACGACGTTGCAAAGGAGCAGACGACGCTCAGATAGGGGGTCGCGATCAGCCAATCGGGGCTCGGCGTTCTGACGTCACCACTACCCCCTGCGCAAGAAGCAGACGAACTTGCCCTCCGCATGGACATGCAACTATTAAATTCACTGCAAAACAATGACATTTCATTCGGCAACTATTATAGTAAAAAATGGATGGGAGGCGAAACAAATATAGGTGCCCGTTACGCTTATATCTGAAATGTAGTATAGACCTTTTTGGAAAACACCAGGAGACCTTGCATCGAGGGAAATTGTGGGGCTGTTCGAATGTATACGGTCGTGCCCGCTCGAACGCTTCGTATATCCTGGTAAGTGATAACTAATAAGTGATTTATTTGCACTTAAATTGGTGCTCACACGGCGGCGTGCCAGGAAAAGCAGATAGGTAAAAACCCTTACCCGCGTGCGCCTGTTATCCTGCCGTCGCGTGTGCGTTGGGATTTATGGAACAACCACTGCTTTAGAAGCATTAAAATTATGATGGTAGTGATAATGGGGGTGGTAATGACGATGATGTTGTTGATGACAATAGCGATGGTGATGATTATGATTCGAGTGGAAGAAGGGGTGAGGGAGTGAAAATCATGATGATGGCAGCAGACGCGAAGGCATTCGTCTCGCAAATACACTGTGAAGTTACCGGGATTCACCGTGTGATGTGTGCAGAGGCTTACGAGAAGCGAATGGTGCGGTCAAAAAGTCTCTAATGGCGGCAGGCAGCAGGGATTCGCTGTGACGAACAGTCCCGCCGCGGAGAAGTCCGGGCTGACCTGATCTTCTACCGAGGCGCAGGCGGTCGATAGGCGGGTTCCCGAAAGAGATTCATCAATAAATTGGCACAATCGGCACAGCGCGCGTATTCAAGAAATTTTTCGTCTCTGTTAAAAGTCCGCCATCCAAGGGCTTTCAGCCGTGTGTGGTGCGACCCGTCGGTCGTTCCAGTGGACCAGGCGCGGATGTTGTGGGTTGCGCGGCGCTGCAGACTCTCCAGGCTCTCGATTAAGTTTTGTTCAGTGGGAGAACAAACTAAAAGAACAGTATTTCAACGAAGGCAGGACTAAGGATGTGTATAGTGTCTGCAGGACCGCAGGCCCTCCTGTCCTTGCGACACGAGTGGTAAAGCCAAGCGTCCTGCGGGACTTCGCGTTAACACCAGCTTTGTGAGCTGCAAAATCAAAGTTTTTTTTAAAACGTGACATCCATGATGGACAGGTGATTTGATGCGGGTAATGAAGTGCCTTCTACAGTATATACAGGGCTTGCCTGTTTGTTGCATGCTTGTGAAACGTATCACGCAACCCTTGGACGCGCTCAGGCTTATGTGTTGTCTCATGTTTCATCTCTCTATATCTTCTAAGTAGTTTTGAAAGTTACGGGCGTCAGACTGGGACGAGACTGTCGTCGAGATCGATGTGTCGTCTGCGTATTGCACTAGGAGACACTTGCTGCTTGGGGTGTCGTTCACGTATAAGATAAAGAGCGTCAGAACAAGGACTGAGCCCCGTGGCACGCCTGATAAAATGACCCTGTCTGTAGAGCGTGTCCCACAGTACACAACTTGTGGACTGCGATTCATCAGAAAGCCTTAGATACAGGTGAATAGGGATGCGTGCATGCCTGCGTGTGTGAGCTTCTCAAGCAAAAGGTTAATATCGAGCGTATCGAACGCATTGCTTAGGTCGAGTTGGATTATATATTTCGTGGCTCGGTTATCCACGTGGTCGCTGATAAAATGGGTGATGGTTGCCAGTGCTGATTCGCAGCTGCGACCTTTTCGAAAGCTGTGCGGACTGTCGGAGAGATAGCCGGATCCTTCAAGGTGGTTGAAAAGCTGACCGTTAACAATACGTTCAGATGTCCGACAGACAATCGACGCGATAGTCACCGGACGGTAAGGCTTTGATTCGTTCATGGGCTTCCCTTTTCCCTTGTGTAGCGGAGTGATCAATGCTCGTCGCCACGTACAGGTCGCGGCTCCTATATCTTGTACAAAGACAAGCATACAGCACAGCTATAGCTGTAGACAACATCAGCGTCCTTCCCCGTCCTGAACCCCTCGCCTGTGCTGGTATCACCGAAACTTCGGCGACCATGCCAGAAAGTGCGCCACTCTCTTCACATCATCGGGAAGCACACGTACTAGCACTACAGGTGGCGAGTGGTGTCAGTCCCGAAACCAGCTGTCTGTTTCTCTATACACCAACTCATGTTTACAAACAAACCGGAGCGCCCCTAGCAGACGCCACCGGCGCCGCGCATGCGCGATGGGGGTGTGGGCAAGAAGCTCGCCGTCGCCCATAAACAAACCTTTAAAATGCGATGTTGTCGGCGTCGGTGTGAGTCCCCCTGCTTTTTTTCGCATTCGAATTGTTGATTCAACGTCTTCCTGGCGATGTCTGACTACTTGAGCGGCGTCAGCGAAATTACCGAGGCTCGTTACACCGCGAAACTTCGCGTGAATAATCTGACATGTGGCGGTTCATTCCGCGTGGACGCCGCAGTATGTACGCTAAAACCTGATTCGCATGATGAGATTTCGCTCGCAATTTTCAGTCGCGACGCCGCTCGGGCTGCAAAAGCGTGAACCGTAGCTGAGGTAGTCGACGTCGATACTAAAAATCGCAAGCAGAATCGGACCAAGTCAGTTAGGCATAGCAAGTCAGTGATATAGTCACTCGTATACCAATGATCAACATCTCCTTGTATTTACTGTTTACATCGAGCCTGCTTACCAACCTTCAAACTTATGTATTTTGAGGCCTGCACTTACTTCGTATAGCAAGTACCGGTCCAACATTTAATCTACGGGCCGTCGTCGTCTAAGGGAGCAGACGACGAACAGAAACGTTTGAAAGAGCAGACGACAGTTCGAACTATCAGGCGGCCGTTTGAACTTGAAGACGCACTGAACGT